TCTATGGCTGTGTAGTATTCCATTATGTATATGCCCCACATTTTCTTTATCCAGTCCACCATTGAAGAGCATTCTATGTCTCTGCTATTGTGAATAATGCTGCAATGAACATAAGCGTGCATGTGTCTTTTTGGTATGACGACTTGTTTTCTTCTGGATATATACCCAGTGTTGGGATTGGTAGTTCTCATTGTTTGAGAAATCGCCAAACTGCTTTCCACAGTAGCTGAACCAATTTACACTCCCACCAGCAGTGTGTAAGTGTTCTCTTTTCTCTGCAGCCTCACCAGCATCCATTATTTATTTACTTTTTAATAATAGCCATTTGGACTGGCATGAGATGGTCTCTCGCTGTGGTTTTGATTTGTATTTCTCTATGTATATGTTGAATGACCATATCCCTAATCATATGTTCATAATGTTTGTTGGCTGCTTGTATGTCTTCTTTTGAGAAGTGTCTATTCAGGTTTTTGCCATTTTTTAATGGATCTAACTTAAATATGGGACAGATGTCCTAGTTTTCCTTTCCCCATGGCCGGTTCAATAACCTATTAGCCTCCTTTTGTCCTCCTAGACAGCATGAGCTATTGCAAGGGAAGAGTTGAAGACAAAGAAATGTAGATAGTTGATAAGTACTGAGTACTATATGTGCTAGCCAAGCCAGTTGCAGCCAGAACTTAGTTACTAAGATATTGGTCATTTGTACACATGTATTCTTCTCTGTTAATGCTTTTTTCTTTTCCCTCAGTTTCCTGATAAAATTGCTTTGAGAAGTTGTTGTCTTATATGGCTTAATTGGGTCAGGGTTGTTTTCTTTCCCACCAGATAAGCTCCATGAATACTAGGACAAAGTGTAAGTTGGTAAACGCTATATCCACAGCACTTAGTGGGAATACATTAGACAGCCCTGCCATCTTTTCCTGTAACATTCTGTCTTTCCATGAAAACTAGAAACTTTCAATTACAAAATAGTCCAGAAGAATCTTACAGGGCCCCTTCAAAGTAAATCCAAAAGCCTTGGCCATAGGAGCAGACCAGTAAATATGGTACTGACAGTGGAGTTGCATTCCTAAAGCATATCCCCAAAAAATATACAGTGTAAAGCTTTGTGGCTGGGTGGTTCATTTTATATTTCTGAAGAAAAGCTTCTTGGGAGAGATTCCAAACAGATTTAACAAGATTTTAATTTAAAAAATTGGGGAGCTGCTCTCTCAGGCTTGAAAAGATCTTACAAATTTACTTCTTGAATGTAACAAGCTGTAATCATTACCCAAATAGGTAAAATCCACTTGGGGAAATTTTTTTAAATAAAGTTCAGCATTAATTGAGTTTATATAATTCCTCAAACTGATTTTAACTATTGAATAAGTATTCAACTTTTATGACAGCTCAGCAATATAGCTTCTGAATTGCCAACTTAGACCTTCTAGCCTTTCAAGGCCTGAAGTGTGGGCTATGAAATTCCCATCATTAAGAAGTGTTCCCTCTTCTGGAAAACAGGAGCCTGCCCCACTGAAATCCTGGGCTTGCTTGACTGTGTCATAGATTGGTGTTTTGTATTTCAACTGCCTGCTCTTGCTGCCCCGAATTTGTGAAGCTGCCTCTTTATATTAAAGCAAGAAGCAGATGAAGGACAAGTACTGAGATAGAAAATTGGATTCTTATAAAACTGGCACATTTAGCAGGAATTATCAAGATAGACTTAACAGAACAGTGATTATTTGGGCAAAGCCCAGTGCCTTAGAACCTCCAATTTGTGAACCAAACACATCCTAATTATTCATTGCTTACCTAATGTTCTTAAAGTAGGAGTTTTCTAATCAGCAAGGATAATTTAGATCTTAATTTAATTGGTTCTTGTCATTTTTATAAACTGCCTACTTTCCTTATGGCAAGAACCTCCTTTTCTGCTTAAAATGCAAAGTTTTCATTTTTGATTCAACATAATAGATATATATTTTTTTCTTTTACTCTTGGCAAGCTGGGACAGATTTATTCTCTGATCATTTTTCAGCAGAGGTTTCTCATTTTCTATTGATTAATAAAGAACATTCTTTCTACCTTAACAAATGTATTTAATGACAAGAGGTTCTTTCCACTCTCAGTGCTAGGCTTTTTATGCAGCTGTTATAGTTGCCTTCCTTTATCTTTAAGCATTGCTATTGCAATTGACATTTCTGTTTCTTCTATGAATAACCTCTAGGTATTACTGTAGATTTAGACATTGTTTTCCTACCCCAAACTCATAAAAAGTAATGTGTTCCAGAAAGCCTGTCCTAATTGTCTCAAACCAGTTCTGATAATTCTATCCCACTCACCCTTTTTATCATTTCTTTATATTATATAAAATATATGTATTTTTTAATTTTAATTAATGTATTTGCATTCAACAGATATTAATGTCATTGCTTATTTCACTCACTTTTCTAGTTTTTTCATATGTTTTCTGCACTAGCTTATCAACTTAAAGGCAAGAACCATGCTTTCTTCTTTCTTTACATGACTCTATAGTGCCAGAACACCAGTGAGACAGGAAAAGAATGAAATGATGGCTATATGTGTAGTATATGGTTTGATTCCATACATGAATTAGATACGCAGAATAGATTTGTAGTTAATGAATTTATCTTTAACCTCTGAAGAAACTAGGATATGATTAATACATGTACTCAGCTATTTTTTGATATCCTGGTATGATTAACTGCCAATATTCCTTAATGTACACATCCTAGAACTTTTTCTCTCTGTCATCTTCACTCATATTAAAATGATACAGCTTGCAGTTGATACAACACATGAAACAGGAAACTAATTAGCAGCTGTTGTCCATCTGTGTGTTTATATTAAGTATTTTTAAATAAAAATGTATTTGCATTCTGAATAGTCTTTCTGAAATTCATAAATCCTAAACTTGGGTAAATGCCATAAAATTCAAAACCAAGATGGAACCTTTACCATTTATCTTCATGAGAAAGCAAAAATAATCTTATGCCAGAATCAGGATTATAGTAATTTAAGGAAGATGTAAATTTTAAACAGAAAAAAAAAAATCTTAACTTTTTTAAGTTGCTTTGGAATTGAGCCCCCAAAGCAATCAGATTGAAATCTGAAAAGATACAGTGTTCAAAATATGGCATATCCTCTGAATATATTCTTTCGTTACAGAAACTGATGAGTACATATAGTTTTGAGAAAGCTATGTTCATTCTCTGACAGATTTATTTTGAAACATGCATCTCCTTTCTCTTTTTCTACCTTTCTATTAAGTTTGTGGTTCTTTGACATGTGATCAAGTTAGAACTCTATAGAGAATGCTATTATATTGGTAGCCATCTTCCAAGTTGAAGATGAATGTCATGGCTTTAGGAAGAAAAGATATTTTTATTCATTTCACTCAAGTCAAATAAGCGAATGTTCCATAAGGAACATTTCAATAACAAAAGAGAGAAGAGTATTATCTACAAGATAGTATCAAATTGCAATGCTCAGGTAGGTTTTTCCCTCTGTGCCTCAGTTGATATGTGAAGAGAAGATAGTCATTGTGTTTATGTAACTTTCAGTATTTCCATAGAATCACAGTATCTTATTAAAGGAAACTTATGATGTTAGCTAGTCCAAATTTTTACCCAATGGAGGTATTAAGGAAAATCTGCAACAACTTAGCCATTAGGTTTTGGTTTGAATTATTTTAGTGAGAAAGACCTCTACTGCCTCATGAAGTAGCACATTCTATTGTTCGATGGTTGTTAAAGTAAGAATGTTTTTCCATTATAATGAGCCAGTCTTTCTTCCTGTTTATCTGTTAGCCCTAATTCTGCCCTCCAAGCAATGCCAAATAAGTTGGCTCTCTCTTTTACATGATATTTGAATACACAATTGTTACACCTTAATCCTTTCTCAAAGTACTATTTATGATTATACATTTAGAAGTATCTTTTTTTCATCCCCAGACAATATTATTGGCCTATAATATTATAATTGTAGTAACTAAACATTATGAATTCCCAAAGCTACTGTGGATAGACTGACCTGAAATCAAGTTTCATTCAGCTCATTTACTGAGTGCCAACAGTGTGCAAGAATTTGGTGGGGCAATCACAAATCGTGGATGAAATGAGACCCTGTTTTGTGAGACAGTTGTATCCTGCTGTATCATCTTTACAGAGTTTTCTTTTACCACAATTCGTTGCCTCTATGCTTTTAACATCAAACCTTAATATTTGATATTAAACTTAAATATAATGTTTTGACATTAATATTACTACCCCTGCTTTTTTGCTTATTTATATTTGCTTAGTGACTTTTTGTTGTTGTTCTTGAGATTGAGTCTTCCTCTCTCTTGCAAGGCTGGAGTGCAGTGGCATAATCTGGGCTCACTGCATCCTCCGCCTCCCAGGTTCACGCAATTCTCCTGCCTCAGCCTCCCTAATAGCTGGGACTACTGGCGTGTCCCAGCACACCCAGCTATTTTTGTACTTTCAGTGGAGACGGGGTTTCACCATGTTGGCCAGGATGGTCTCGATCTCTTGACCTTGTGATCTGCCCACCTTGGCCTCCCAAAGTGCTGGGATTACAGGCATGAGCCACCACACCCAGCCCTCTTTCTTTTTTCCTTTCTTTTCTTTCTTTTCTTTTTTGCATCCTTCCTTTATTTCCTTCCTTCCTCCTTCTCTTTCTTCTTTCTGTCTCTTTTTCTGTCTTCCCTTGTCTTTCTTTCTTCTCTTTTTTTCCTGACAGAGTCTCATTCTGTCACCCAGGCTGGATTGTAATGGCACATGCAAGCTCAGCTCACTGCACCTTCCACCTCCTGGGTTCAGGTAATCCTCCTCCCTTGGCCTCCCAAGTAACTGGTATTACAGGCACCTGCCACCACACCCAGCTAATTTTCACATTTTTAGTAGAGACAGGGTTTCACCATGTTGGCCAGGCTGGTCTTGAACTTCTGACCTCAAGTAATCCTCCTGCCTCGGCCTCCCAAAGTGCTGGGATGATAGGTGTGAGCCACTGCACCCAAACTAGATTTAACCATATTTTTTATAAAGGGAGGGGTGTGTGTGTGTGTGTTTCACTACTGTTTCCTCTCCTCCAATTTTTTCTACCTTGAAGTCTATGTTCTGAATCATTTTTTTATTTACAGTCATTTTCCCAGAACATTGCTTGGTGATTTTTCATCTGAATTTTTACATTTTAACAAGTATCATTCTTCCATTTTGGTTGGTGAATGATTGGATGTAGGATTTGAGGGTTGTATGGCTTTTCTCTCAGAGATATTGTAAGGGTCCTTGCTGAGTTTAAAATGAGGAAACTGAGGCCAGTATAAGTAAATTAAATGCCAATTTATTCAGCTCCCAGGTGAGGTTCTGTGGTCCCGGGGAAAGGGGCCAGAGAAGTCACACTGACTTCCTGAGGCGTAGGCTGTTTATAGCTATAGAGAGCGAGGAGGAGCAGGGTGTTCTGATTGGTTATGGGGGAGCGGGGCGTGGATGGGACAAGCTGCTGTTGGTAGGTAGATTGTTGGGTGGGATTTCCCTAATGCAAGATCCGGCTTGGGTTACATTAGCCGGATCCTTCCAGGAGAGCATGTGCTCCTGAGGTAGGTTCCGGGTGCAGAGAGGTGAGGTAGGTTCCAGGTGCAGACATGTGACATAGGTTTCAGGCGCAGAGATGGGTGGGTGTGTCCGAGCTCCTGGGGAGACAACCGGCCTTACATTCCGACCCTTTTGATGATATAGGATACCGCTTCTTTCTGGCTACTTCCTGCTGAATAGGGACGGAGTGAGGGGGAGGGGTCAGTTGGCTGGTGCCTCGGTTGGGAGTTGGACATAGGGGTGAAACAGTATCTGGTTTACGGCCACCCTGGAAATTTCCCTTATGCGGGCCTGTAAAAACCTGAGGGAAAAGGGGGCTAACTAACAGAAGGCAAACGACAATGATGGGGGTGATAATAGGGGTCAGCCAGGTAAGCATGGGGGATTGCCACCAGTTGAGAGGCGAGACTGGTGCATTCTGGTTTTTTGGAGGTCTTCTTGGAGGCAATAGAGAGCGTTGACGTTCTCTTCTACAAGGCCTGTTTCATTGATATAGTAGCAGCACTGTTCCTGAAGAAACAGACAGGTACCTCCTTTTTCTGCCATTAGCAGATCAAGGGCCCGTCGGTTCTGGAGAGTTACCTGGGCCAGCAACGTGATTTGTCGCTGGAGGGAGGCCAGGGAGGTGGCTGACGCTTCAACAGCCACATGGAGCTTGTCCTCTAGTTGAGTGGCTGAAGTGACACTGTAGCCTAGGGTACTGCTTCCTAGCCCAGCCGCCGCTAGAGAGGATGCTAGAGGGAGGCCAACGACCATTGGAAGGAAGACTGCTCATCTGTTTCGGTGATTAGGCGAAGGTGGAAGGAGGGATAGGAGTTCGGCCTGTCCGTATACTTCTAACTGCAGGACCAAAGTGACAGGCACACAAGGGAAGGGGAAGGAGGCATTAATAACTTTGGTTAAGGTTCTATTACACCAGAAGTATCCTCCTGGAGGTGCATAAAGGGAGGATTTTACTTTTACTGTGGTGTTGCAGTTGGGGCTGGAGCTGCTGGCCATCCCATAGCAGAGAGATTTTGAGAGTGTGCTTTGAACAAGGGGATACCTGTTAAGGTGGTGCCAGGCCCTGTAGGCGATTGTGACAGATTGAACCCGGACCGGAGGGGAACTGCGGCTAAGGGGGGGTTGTTGAGAGAGGCACATAAAAAGCAGTTGGTGAAATTTATGGCTTTGGTTAAATTTAACATGTTAGCTCCCTGCTGTACTAGAGTTAGCCAGGAGAAAGGTCAGGAAGTGCTATCTGAGGGTTTGAATTGGTCAGTCAGGGTAGCTTCATTCTGTAGGATGGTATGGCCTACCGAGCTGAGTTGTTCTATTACTTCAGGGATGATGCAGGTATAGGACTAGAATATTAGCCATGTTCCCTGAGGGTGGCTCCAGGTATAATCTTCATAGACTTTTCCAGACACTCCTACATCCCAACGACCGTGCCAAGGGTCGCGGATGTTGAGGGCTAAGGAACCATTGCTGAAGTGAATGAGCATGCAATTAGGACGGCTTAGAGGCTGTGGCTTGTGAATAACACAAGAGCTGTGTGGGCACCCCCCATAGGTGGTGTTCCACCAATGACAGTAGTCCTTGGTTTGCTCATATAGAAATCACAACCCATGCCTAAAGTGAAACCCATGATCGTGACTGAGTACGGTGCTTTTACTGTGTGGGATGAGGATGGAGACAGTAGACTGACAGCCACCTGTTTGGCAGTTTGCCTGTGCAAGATAATGGGTCCTAGTGGTGGGGCCCTCGGTCCAGGATTCCTGGGCTGCAAAGATCCTGGTTTGAGCTCTCAGAGGAGAACACTGTCACCTGGTTGGAGAGGCATCACTGGGTAGGGGTCTTCTGGTCCTGGAACAACAGGGAGGGTGCGATCCGCGTGTTCCCTAAGCAGGTGGCGGAGAAGAGAGAGGAAGGGAAGGTAGGAAGCCAGTGGGGGCGGTTTTACAGGGAGATTGTGAGAAACCAGGAAAGGCCGGCTATACAGCAATTTGAAGGGGCTAAGGCCCGTTGGCCCCCTTGGGGTGGCCCAGACCCGGGCCAGGGCAAGAGGTAGTAGGAATGTGGGCCAAGAGAGTTTTACCTCAATAGCAAGTTTGGCCAAATGGTCTTTGAGGATGCCGTGGGCCCATTCAACTTTACCCGACGACTGAGGATGGTAAGGGATGTGCAATTTCCAGGAGATGTTGAGGGACTTGGCGACTAGCTGGACTACTTGGGCCGTAAATGCTGGACCGTTGTCCGACTGGATGGTGGCAGGTAGGCCGAAGCAAGGGATGACTTCTTGAGTAAAGAGGGAGGCCACCGTGTCTGCCATCTCCCGGGAGGTGGGGAAGGCTTCAATCCAACCTGAAAAGGTATCTACAAAAGTTAGAAGGTAGCAGAGCTTTTGTGAGTGGGCATAGAGTGAAGGCAATTTGCCAGTCTTGGGCCAGCAGGTTGCCATGCATTTGGTGAGTAGGAAACTATGGCCTTAAGCCTCCCTGAGGCGAGACCTTAGAGCAAGTAACGAATGCCTTGTGTACCTGCTTAATTGTTTGTTGCAGACCTGGCGAGAAAAAGAGGGGCTGTACAAAGTGGTGTAACGCCTTAGGCCCTATATGTAAGGATTGGTGGATTTTAGCAATAATTTTAGGGGCCTGTTCCTGGGGAAGGGCGATTCTGTTATTTAGGAAGATCCAGCCCTGATTAGATTCTGTTCCCCATTTTAGTATGAGGGTCTGTTTTCCTGATGGTGAATATACAGGCTGTGTGGCCGTGGTAAGGAAGAGAACAAGGGTAGGGGTCAACTTGGCATTAAAGATCTTGCTGCTGCATCTGCCCACGCATTGCCCCAGGAGACGGCATCATGCTGGGCCCGGCGTCCTCGGCAGTGTATGACTGCAACTTCCCAGGGCAATGATAAGGCCTGTAAAAGGTTGGAGATCTGTGTAGCATTGATTATGGGGGACCTCGTTGTGGTAAGGAATCCCCATTCTCTCCAGAGGGCAGAGTGGCAATGGGTAATAAGAAAAGCATATTTTGAGTCAGTAGAGATATTTGCTTGCTTTCCCTGTGCTAGTGTAAGAGCTCGGATTAGGGCAATGAGCACTGCCTTTTGTGATGTGGTTAATGAGTAGTTCCTGGGCCAGCAGGTGGGTGTTGATAGGCTTCAGGCCTTGACTGGGTTTTCGAGATGGGGAACTGAGGACGTGAAGGAAAGTGGGTAGGGTCTTTGAGAAGTATTTTAACCGGGGTACGATGTTTGGCTACTACAGGCTTGGAAGTATCCCATATGAGGGGATTAACTACGTCAGGAGGGATAGGGGGTTGGGGCGAGGAGTTAAGACAGGGCATGGTGTCGGTTAGGAGTGGCAGTAGGAGGTGGGCGGATGATGGGCTTGAGTGTGGGGTGCCAGTGAGTTGGAGAGTGGCCCCCACAGTCTGGAGAATGTCTCGTCCTAAAAGGGGGACTGGGCACGAGGGTATGATTAAAAAGGAGTGGGAAAAGGGGTGTCCCTCGAGGACACAGGCTAAAGGATGGGTTTGATTAGGACAGGAAGGCTTACCATCAATTCCCATGACTGAAACCTGGGAAGGTATGCTAGGTCCTGAGTAGGAAGGCAATACAGAATAGGTAGCCCCCATGTCCACTTAAGAAGGAAATGGACTTACCCGCTACCTGCAGTGTTACCCTGAGCTTAGCGAGGGTGATGGGGGTCCTCGAGTCTGGGCCTTGTCAGTCGTCCAGCAAGCCAAGAAGTTCCAGTGATAGGACCACCTCCTGTGGACTGGCCTGCCCTCCGCATAGAGGTGTGGGGGGTGAGCCTGTAGTCTGGGATGGGCAGTCAACCTTCCAGTGTCCAGCCTGTTTGCAGCTCGGGCAGGGTCCGGGAGGTGGAATGAGGACAGGGGCACTATCGTGCCCAGTGTCCCTCTTGGCCACATTTGAAGCAGGGTCCGGGCGGGACCCTTGAAGAATTTTGGGAGGGTTTTGATGGACCCCCTCCACCAGATGCTTGATGGGCTGCCGGCCTCAGGGCTGCTACAAGAGCTTGGGTTCGGAGGCTCACCTTTTGCTGTAGACGGGCCTGGCAGGTGGCCTCAGCCTTTTCCTCTTGGCCATTAAAAACTTTAAATGCCATGTTTACCAGGTCTCGTATGGGAGGTTTCGGGGCCCTTCTCAGCCTTTTAATTTTCTTTCTAATGTCAGCTGCTGACTGAGAGATGAAATGGGTGGCTAGAACTGTAGCCCCCGCTAAAGAGGCCAGGTCCAGCCGGGTATGAAGGATCATGGCATTAGTTAATTGGTCAAGGAAGGTGGCTAGGTTTTCAGTAGGACCCTGAGTTATTTCCCTTAACTTCTCATAATTAACTACCTTTTGGGCTACGCTTTGCATGCCTGCTAGGAGGCACTATAGCATTTGGTCTCAGTGGTGGTGGCCATCTTAACCAGTTTGATAGTTCCAATTAGGGTCAGCCTCGAGGACTGCCGCTGCCCCCACCGGCATTTGGTTGTTGGTTAGATGTACCTGATCAGCGTGTGCCCGGGCTGCTGTAAGGATTCGGTCCCGCTCGTCTGGGCTGAGGGTGGAGGATAGGATTATATACATGTCATGCCAGGTTAGGTCATATGCCTGGGTAAGATAGCTGAACTCTTTGGTGTAGGCAGTCAGGTTAGTGGAGAAAGACCCCAGGCACTTCTCAATAGCTGATAGGTCAGAGAGAGAAAACGGAACGTGCACTCATACAACTCCCTTGGCCCCGGCTACCTCACACAAAGGGCAGAGGAGTGGGGAGTCGTGAGAGTGGGTACAAGCACTGACAGGGGAAGTCATATTAGAGCTTTGGGGAGGAGAAGAAGAAGAGGGAGGAGGGAGTTGGGGCCCCTCATAAGGAGGAGGGTTGGTAAAGTGGGCAGAGCAGGACAGGTCTTCTGGGTTTTCGGAGAGTGCAGAGGCAGGTGGGGCTGAGGGCAAAGGCGGGGTTTTGGCTAACAGGACCTGGGCGGAGGAGCAAGAGGAGCAGAGGGCGGGTCGGGAGCGCAGATACCAAAAGGCCTGGACATAGGGGACCTCCGACCACTTGCCATTTCTTTGGCAAACATTATCTAAATCTGTCAGGACATTGAAGTCAAGTGTGCCCTCTGGAGGCCACTTAGACTGGTTGTCCAGGGAGTACTGTGGCTAGGGAGAGGAAGAGCAGCCTTTTCTTTTTTATGGAAAGGCCCAGTTTGGGTAAATTTTGGACTAGACATCCCAATGGCGACTTGGGGTCTAGGCAGGACTCCTGATTACCCATAGTTCACTCTCTGTTGCAGGGTAGTC